TCGATTTAACTTTTAAATCTTTAGATTTTGCTTTTTTTATTTAGTAACGATAGTATGTACTATTATAACTAGTTTTTTGTTTACTCTCTTAAAGTTTTATCTAATTAATAGCATGTTAGCATTATTTATACCTAATTAAACTTTTGATTATGTGTTTCATTGATTTTTTTTTTAGCTTATTCGATGCTTGTGATTTTCATGAATAATTTCATTCAGAACCGCTCCAAACTGTCTCGGGGTTCTGTGACAAAATTAAGTTGTGAAGTTCCAAAATTTAAATATTATTATTCTATACAACCACATTGTAAATATAATGGTATTGAATGTTTGATATATAGCAAGAACTTAAGGCCTAAATCATTGTGGTCTGGGAATAGATTGTTCCGTTGTCGGTGCGGCCCTTCCTTCTTATTGTTTTGCTTCATTATTATTTAAACGATATGATGTTAAAAAATGATATGATATTAAAAAATAGAAAGCGAATATAAATTACTTTATTATTTTTATTACACTTTATTTCAAAAAAATAAATTATTCCCATACTTTAGTCAATTTCAAAAATGTATTAGCCGATTTTAATTAACTTTAGAAAATATATTAGTTGATTTAGTTGACAGTTGAATTATTTAAAAGTCGTAACAACACTAGTTATTTGTTACTAAGAAACCTGAAATGTTTAGAGTAATGTTATATTAGCGATTAAGGGTGTTCTGGATAAATGTAAGGAAAAAAGAAAATTTTCTTTGTAAGTAATTTAATAAATTAAAAAAAAAATAATTACAGACACTATTTAAATCTTAGAGGCTCTATTGAAATTACAATACTATAAACAAGTTTCACTCAAAATAATCACCATTAGCATCGATCACAGCTTTAATCCTGCTTCGGAACCTGAAAAAAACTGATGCTACAGACTTCCTGGGAAGGGTCTTAGAAACACTCTTAATTTTATCCTTTAAGTGAGCTTTTGTATTATTGGCACAACAATAGGTGTCTTTTTTAACTGTGCTCCATACAAAATAATTATGGGGTTGAAGTCTGGGAGTTTAGAGCCAAACATTTGGATTGGTGAAGTCGTGAAAGTTTTCAGACAATCATTTTTGACTTTTCCCAGAGGTGTGGCAATGAGCCGAATCATTCTTCCATACATACGGTCTACCATTGGCTATCCTTGTTATCCAGGGCTTGACGACATTCTTTAGCAACTCTACGCAGCCATCTAAATTCAATCTGAGGCGCTCTCTGAAAAAATATGGAGGCAATAGATTGCCCTCAGAATAATGCCTGAGACTTTGATAAAACAGTTTAGAGTCTGTATTACACAATGAATGTCCTTTAGACTGTACATACCATCTGTTATTCTGTGTGTTGTGTTATTAAACCTGGTAAAAAATTTTCTAGTCGGAAAAGAATCAGATTATTTGCGGTTAAGCAGGATGTTTCACTTTGTTCAGAAGTTTCTTCGCTTTTATCAAACAATTTTAACGGGTCTTTTCTGTAAACAACTGACCTTTGCGGCACTTGTATGAATAGTAGCGAAGGTTTTCATTGAATGCAAACTTCATAGTGGAGGATGAAACATTCATTTCACGTTACAAAACCCAAATTTTAATGCTAGGGCTCTTCAACACCTTTTCCTGCAGATCATTGAGGAATTCTGCTGTACGAACGCAATCAGATCGTCTGTTATGGATCTTTCTTCTTGCTACAGCCTCGTAGTCATCATTGCAAGTCTCTAGTTTATGCCTGGTTGTTTAGGGAGCATTAGGGTGCAGTCATAATATCCTTATTTTGATGGAAAACACGAACCATCGATGCCATGATGCAAGTTATTCTCTTCCATGATTCAGGTGGATTCCAGTCATCTACCCTCTATGACATCTTGTATATGAGTAAAGAAGGGTCCAAACTTTAAATGATGAATAGTGTGGCTTATATCTTCTAACTAGAAAAAGATAGTCAATTATAAATATGTCAAATTTATCCCGAACACCTTGTATACTCTCCTTTGTGTTCATAAAACTTTTATGTATTTGTTCATTTATCTAATAAAGATTACTTTTTTAAATTTATGAAAAAATTGTTGGAAAAAAATATTTTCTTGCAAAATATTTAAAGGTTTTAAAATATTAAATTTTTTTTTCCTGTAATGCTTAATGGCTTTTTTTGTAATTAGAGTTAAAACACTTCCCCATTGTCGCTTTTATCGTCGCTACTTGTTCTCTAAAAAAATAACGTGCCTATATCTTTAAATTTACAATCTCCAAACTTTTGTCGTTATAATGTAAACATCAGAGTTTTTCATATATGATTTTGGAACTTTCTAGCAATTAGTTTTGCGTTTGTATGTTTTTTAGTGACCAACAGCTAAGCGCATGGCAAGTACTGGGTATTTTACTCGAGTGATATATCATAAACGTTTATGTAGAGTCATGGAAAAGTCATAGAAAAGTTATGGAATTTCATTATCAAATTAAAGTGGCCAGCCTGTGTAGGAAAAAGAGTATGCGTTTTTATCAGTATTTTCTTAGCTAATGATCCGAAGCACAATAAATATGTCATGTATAACAATAAATATGATAATAAACAATGAAAGTTATAAAGCACGAAAAATGTTGCATTGTAAAACTCTCTGGTAATTTAAAATTAAAAGACATTAATAGTTTAATTAAAAACAAAGCTGTTTGCTGTAAACGTTCTTACTTAGAGGAAAATCTAATAATGTAACCTACTTGTTTACGCCATTAATAAAAATCTTAAAAACGTTTTAGATATATTTCGCAAAAGATTTATTCCAGTTAAATATAAACTTAAATTGGTAGAGATTGCGCGACATCTATTGATCAAATAACAATGAATTAAAGTATAAAAATATATGCCATTACTATATTTTTTATAAGATGAAAATATGTTAAACACTCTTCTCAGAAAAAAAAGTGAAACTCACGATATAAATATTTGACTGTTAAGTCAATTTTTTTCAAATTTATTTAGATGTTTCCAAAATACAATATTTACGCGTTAACGGAAATAACGTAAAAAAAGAAAAAACTTTTATAAATAAAACAATTTTAAATTTCTAGGATGACCTGGAAACCTACAAAATATTCCTTGGAATAATTTTTTTTTCTTTTTAACTTTTAGGAGTTTTTAATTTTTCCGTAAAAACTCCCTTTTTGAAAGATAAATTAAAGAATATAGAAAAGCGGGATAAGTTTTACTAAATTGACAAAATAACATCACCATTTATATTGTCAACACCTTTTAAGGATTAAATTAAAAAGACTTCTACTAATAGTTCTTTTTTGATAAATTTCTTCTAGTTATTCTTTTTTGTTTATCACTAGATAAATTATAAGTATTATTGAAGATTAAATATGCATCAAAGTTGAATTGAGAGGATTTTATTTTTGATGCTAAAGAAGAACCAACATTAAATTCATTAAGTTTTTAAGCAACTTTCTACTAAATGACCAACATTAAATTCATTAAGTTTTTCAGCAACTTTCTACTAAATGACCAACATTAAATTCATTAAGTTTTTTAGCAACTTTCAACTAAATGGCCAACATTAAATTCATTAAGTTTTTCAGCAACTTTCTACTAAATGACCATTTTAAATTGTATTGGTTCTTTCATATTCTTAAAAATTTTTTTTTATTAGTATCTTTGTTTGCACATCAATCCTTTGATCATCAAACTCTCTAATCTTCATGTTTTCCTGCCTCATACAATTTGTAGTTTTTTAAGCATTCGGTCAACCGTTTTCTTTCTCTCTAACAATATTCTTTGTTCTCCGTTAACTCCCAACTTAAATAGTGGTTGATTCCAACCTTTTTAGGAGTGAAATAGTTTATACAAAAACCTCAAATACTTAAGTAGGGTACGTTAGCCTAATTTTGATCAACATTAAAAAAGTTTAATTCATTTTCGTAAACATATTCATAGGAATTTTTTTCAACAGATAATGAATTTTGTTTTCTATCAGGGTTCAAACCTGAACATGTTCAAACTGTTACGGAAAAAAGTGCAAAGTATTTCGAAATTTTCATTTTAGTTATGTGAAAACACACAAAAGTAATACAAAGTACGCGTAAAAGTGTTTATTTGTTTATCATCATTAATTAGGAAAAAAATAAATAATATCACTGAGTACCCTTCATAGTTTGTTTTCAAAAAGTTTAAAGTTTTTATTTAAAGTTTCGTCATGTAAAGAACTTCTTATTTTAGCAGCAAAAAGTCCAAGACTAGAAAAAGCTCTCTCAGCTTCTACGGATATAGGATGATTTGTTTGAAGAGCTTTGAAAAGTAAATCTAATTTCTTGGACCAAACTTTGCTAGCTTCAAAATCAGCCATTTCCTTTTGAACAAGGTTTGTTCCAGTTTTCTGATAGTCAAGTTTCATTTCAGTGTCTGAATGTTCAATAAAAAGTTGTTGAGCTACAAATTCTATTCACTTTTGATGTTATCAGTTTTTACTATCAGTATTTACTTTCTTGTCATTATCAGAGTTATTGCCTGAAATAATCACTGAATAAAATTTGTTGCAAGATTAGTAATTGTCTTTTTTGTAATCTTGTTGCCAAATCGGTCATCTTTATTTAAGACATTCAGATTTGACAAGTTCTTCATGTGATGAATTAAATAAATGTTTCTGCTTTAAATTATTCTGTATTCAAATATCTGTTTAACAAGTTAACTTATAGGCGTACTAGCTTCATGAAATTTTTTTCTTCTAAATTCAATCACAACTTCAGAAAACAAAAGATCAGCATCTTCTTTTGAAAGAGTATTAAAGGCCAGTTTTAGTGGTTTTAAAGCAGCACGAAATTCATTTATGACATTTATGACAAGCTCATTTTTATTTAAAGAAAAATTGATATTCATACTAATTAGAGCTATTTTTACTTCTGTTTAGCTATTTTTACTTCTTTTTGCACCTCCAAAAAACTGTTCAAGCATATCAATAGTACTGCTCCATCTTGTCCTTGAATCACAAATCAAAGCTTTTTTTTTCCAATGTTTTCATTTATATTTGGTTGAAGTTCATCATCATTGCTCACTGGCGATCTACGAAATTTTTTAAACACTTTTCTTATTTTCACCACAGTTTCTTGAGATTCAAGATTTAATAATGGAATAAAATCTTCACCAACTGCATGAACAGTTTGATTATCATCACCAACTTCATTCCCATCTTCATCATCACTGTAACCTTGATCATGATCCTTTTAACCCCCTCATGTTTCCAGCACGATCCTTTCTTTTTAAACCCACTAGGTTAGATTGAGACAAGAGTAAACAGTCTAAAAATATATAAAAATAAGCGTGCTAAAGAAATTTACGACCATCAAAATAACTGTACAACGATGTATTTTATTATGTAGTACTTAAACCAAGCTAAACATTTGCACCTCTCAAATTTGCCTTGAAAGCCAAGTTAATGAAAACAGATATTGATATTTTTCTGTCTTCTATAAAGTGACTTTTTAATTGAATTTCACTGAAATTAAGTGCTGTAGACTCATAACAATTTAAAAATCCGTTATTGACTAAAGATTATCAAAACAAAAAGATAATTTAGCTAATACACCTTGAGAGTTATTTTTCATTTAAACTGGATAAAAGTATTAATCAAAGCTCTATTTTAATCTGAAACATAGTAATACTTTACTTAACAACATAAAATTATAAAAACTGGCGATATCATTAGCAACACAGATGAAATACACATAAACAAAAATGAAGACTAGAAAGCTTCAATGATGTTTAATTATAAGAAAGTGTACCTTTCCACTATCATTTTCACTTGGTCTTTTGTATCCAAACCAAAAGGTTTGCAAACAGTTCTAAAGATAAATCTGTTGTCATTATGTGCATTTTTTTACTTGCTTTTTTAACAAGGAAACTGACATAAAAGTTAAAGAGCCAACCTTTTGTATAAACAGTTTCATCATTCAACTAAATAAAAACAACAAAATTACTCAGGTCATTTAAAAATATTTAATTTAATAATAAATTTAAAAATTGCTGAATGCTTCTTCTTTTCTATCGTTCGTTTCACTGGCACTTGAACAAGTAAATACAGACAGAACTCGCTTAGAAGTTTTATTTTCGTCTGAAAATAAATATTTTAATTTAATATGTAATAAACAACGTTCTTTAAGCACAACATATTAAAAAATAAGTCCAAGAATAAACGGTAAAACAATTACCTGCAACTAACTTAATTGAGACATATCGATACCATCATACTGGCACTACACTATCCATTTTTTGCTAATACTCCAACAAACAAAAATACTCCAAAAAGTTTGTACCCCACATAAAAATGTGAGGGGACTAAGTTATTAAAATACTTTTACTTATTTTATTTTATACTACATTTGAATCCATCAACAGACCCAATAATTCTTGATATGTTTAAAGTTATTTTTTTAAGTTATTTCATATGGTCATAACCTTTGAGCATTAAAAAATGTGAATTTAAATTTAGTTTTGGATAATAAACTTAAAAACTTATTAACTCATTAAATTAACATTTGAGACAGGGGGGGGGTTCTATCTTTTTTTGATAGTTTTGTTCCTAAGTTTTAATTACCACAATTTTTTAGCTAATCATTCTTATTTGACATATGATTGAACATACTTATGCTTAGAGTTTTCATAATGTCAAGCACAGTATCTGAAATGTAAAATAACCCTGTGTCTGCTCTTGGTTAATATAAAAATATTTAAAAACTAAAAGGAATAAATAAAAATGTATACAAAATAATCAACATAAAAAAAATAAAAGATAATAATGCCTAATATATTAAAGTAATTTTTAAATGAACTCCAAGTCTTTAAGTATTAGATCTGCTATAACTCCTTCCTGGCTTATGTCAATATCTTCAGCTTCATCTTCATTGACTTTCCAATATCCTATTGTGTATGTAATAGATTTTTTTTTTGTTGCTACTTTTTGATCAACAATTCTACCAAAAAATAAATTTTTATATATTTTTTTTTTTTTTTTTTTTTTTTCTTGAATATTCAATATAGTTATACAATAAGATAGTTGAGATAAAAATCGTTATACAATAAAAGAAAATATATACAAAATTAGAAAGAACGCGTAGACTCGCAGAAGACCTTCAGGTCTTATCATCGAGAACCGCTCGTGAATATTAAGTACATTAAATTAACATGAAGTATAAAATCTAAACAATGTCGTATTAAAAATTAGCGAGAACGTAAATTTCGTAATAATATATAAATAAAATTGGAATAAAGAAATTGTTGATACTCTTATATATAAATACAAAAATATTTTAAAAAGTACTGTTTTCACAAACACATAAGTTATGGATCAGATATAATATTTATATATTACCTTATGTAATAAACTTCATATTCATTTTTAAAAGAATTTAAAAATATAAAAAAATGTCTTCAAAAGACAAAACAATTTCTTTTAGTTTTTTCTTGAATGAAAGATAATTCCATTCATGGGAAAAATCAAAATTTTTTAAAACTATTTTGTTCCATAGAAAAGCTCCTCGATATGAAATACATGACTTTCCAAAATTAGTTAAAGTTGTTGAACTTGATTATCATTTCTTAAGTTATATTTATTTTTATCTTTTAAGGTATATAGATTATGAAAAGAAACTAGAAATTCGTTGGTTTTACACTTGAACATAAAACAAAGTATATTAAAAATATTTAGCTGATAAATATTAAGAATTTTCATTTGAAATAATAATGGTTTGGCATGAGCAAATCGATCTTTATAATTGATAAGCCGAGCAACATGCTTCTGCTGACGATAAAGAGGTAGCAGTTTAGATTTATTGGTATTACCCCAAGCAATATTTGCATAATTTATATGGCAATGGATTAAAGAGAAATATAATTGTGTTAAACTGTGTTTATTTAAAGCATTTCTAGCCTTTTACATTACTCCTATATTTCGAGCAACTTTGTTGCACAATAAATCAATGTGATACTTCCAACTAAGGTTTTCATCAATATTTATTCCTAAAAAGTTAGTAGTTTGTTCTTTTTATTTGAACTTTGTCAATAAAAAGTAAGGGCATCACAGGAGGTAGTAGCTTTTTTTTTGAAGTTTGATGAAAAAGTATCCATTTAGTTTTTTCAACATTTAGTGACAGCTTATTCACTTTAAACCAGTCAGAAACTTTTGTTAATTCAATATTCATATTTTGGAATAATGTTGTTATGTTGTTATGAGCTAAAAAAAGATTTGTATCGTCGGCAAACATGACCGTCATTAAATTTGAGGCTTTAGGGAGATCATTAATGTAAATTAAAATAAGAAGAGGTCCTAGTATAGAACCTTGAGGGACCCCACATGTTATATCTAATAAATTGAAAGAGACAGTTGTATTACTGTAAACAAACTGTTTACGGTTGCTTTAATAACTTTTAAGAATCATTAAAACATTCCCTTTAGTTCCATATTACCATCATCTAGCTCCCATTTATGGCTTAAGAGCTGCCCTATCAAGTTTCCATTTTTCAAAATTACTCCTAAAATTTGTTTTTGTTTTTTATCAATATTAACAAAAGGAGGATTTGTGGTTTTGGCATTTTCAGCTATTGCTCTTTTAATATCCTTCTCTTGTTGCTTTCTTTCCAGACGTTCTTTTTTTAAATTAGCTTTGGCGCATCTTTTTCCTATTTCTTCATACAAAAAATTATTAAAATTTTTAGAGGCTTGACACGTTAAAGCTTCTCTGCGAATTACAAATTGAATAAGATCTTCTTGTTCTGGCAATGTTTTCTCATCAAGCCATGTTAATGCTTTGTTTACCCTGGCTTTTATTTTAGAATCCAGAAAACCAAAAGTAGCATTAGGAGCACGACGCAAAAAAAAATCAAGCATGCCCAAGATCCTTTCAGCCTCCATTGTATGAGTTGGAGCAGATAGTGTGGTTTTTATCATTTCTTTAGATGGATTTGAGAGATTGCCAGTCAAATACCTGGCCATCTGTCTTTTGAGAACTGTCTCTGTGTAGCTTATCAAAGCTGATAAAATCTTTACCAAAATATTTTTTTTTTTATTACACGAAGGGATTGGTGTACCTTATCTTTTTTGATATTTAATACTTGACTAAAAATATCCACATCTGTATAAAGAATTGATTCTGGATTACTTTTGAAGTAAGCTAATTTCCTTATTGCTTTCTGGAAAATGTCACCCTAATAAAAAAATAATTTTTGCACATTTTTAAACTACTTTATTTGTTTATTAGAAAACCTTAAAAACTTACAAACTCAAGATTACTCTTTCCTGTTGCATTTTTATAAACCAGACTCATCCATGGCCCAGTTATTATTTTTCCTATCAGGCCCAACCCTTGCAGTTGCACAAGCGTTATATCATTACTCATATCTTGAAGTAAGAGTTGGCAAATTTTATTTTTGGTGTTGCTAGAATAAGGAGAAAATGTTAATACATAGAATTCTATTAAAACAAATATTCATCTAAAAAAACTTACTTTTTAAGAAAGGTTTTTATAAATCTTTCGTATGTAACAACAATCCCTGCCATATGGAACAAAACATGAAATCTACTACCAACATATCTAAGGAATAGCCCTGGAGCAACATTGTTTTTTTTAAGATAGCTTTTGAATGCTGCAGGATCGCCTTTAAAACTATACCTGATTTTTAAAGAGCAAAAAAATTAAAATTTCAAATTTTCAAAACGTGAAAATAATAAAGAAATAATTGCTCACAAGAAAATAAAACTAAAAAAAAATTTAAATAATGAAAGATATACATATAAAAGATTACCTTAGCTTAGAAATATTTTTGAGGACTGTTACTGCAACCCCATCAGTTCCTTTAGCTGGTTTTATATTCAACTTATTATCTATTGTTTTAAGAGCTAATAATGCTTTTAAGGCAATAGTTTCCAATGGATGAACATTGAAGTACAGTTGCATTAATTGAATGTCCATCTTCTCCTGAAGCATGTTTTTCACACAACTATTAACAGGTGCTCTGTCTGACAGACAACTTTTGATTTTTTGAGTGAAAACATCTAAAACTTCTACTGCTGGCATATTTTTAAACTCTGCAAATGTATTGGCAAGTTCTTTTATTACACTGACAATATGAGTGGCACCGTCAAATCCTGTGCCTCCAGCAAGTTTAGCGGTTGATAAGGAATAACATCTCTGCGGAGGATAGGTACTGATAAGGAACTCATTTACATGTTTGTCTAAAACGGTGATTGCATCAAACACTACTGTTGCACATTCACAATGAAAAAGTGCCTCACCAGTCTGAACCAATGCTAAAACACCTGGCTCATATGCCATTCGATTTACTGTGGATGAGTGAGGTGTTTCTTGCAGTTCTGTGTTGTGTAACAGTTAAGAAATTTTTTCTAACAAAAATGAGACACTTTCCACAGGCACATTGTTAATAATAGCAGCATAAACACATTTTCTTATGGGTAGGTCATATGTTTTTAATTTTTTGGTTTCTATAAGTAACCTATTATCTTTTTTTTTTTCTAAAACAATACTAGTTAAATAATGATTTTGTTCTACAAGTTGTTTATTTTCTTGCTCTTTGATTTTTATCTGTTCCTGTAATTCTTTGATCGCAATTTTGTGTTTCTTTTCTAACTTTTTAACATTTTGTTGCAACTTCGTTCTACTAATTTTAAGAATTCTCAATTTATTAATGAAATCTAGAGAATGAAACTTATTCTGTTGAACTGTTTTTTGTTTTTTTTCTTCTGAATATTTCAATTTCCACAAATTTAGTGAAAAATACTGTCTTTTAAATTTTTTGTTTGTAAGCTTGTTACAGGTCATTGATTTTTTCAAAAAACGAACTCTCTGCTGCAATTTTCTGTTTTTTTCTTGTAAACTATGTATTTCATCTTTTTTTATTTTGCATGAACCACACTTTACTCTCTGCATTGTGTCTGAAGCAATATTTAAATCACTTGCAACGTTTAAGTGAATATTTGTATTAGAACTATTTCTTTTTCTTTCATATTTAAATGGTTGCTGCAAAAAATTAACAATAGCAGCCCATGACTGGGTAGGGTTTTTTTAAAGATTTTTATCTTTTTATGCAAGTATCTTATATTGTTGGAGAATATTTTAAAATCAGATGCATTTTGAGGTCCAATGTTCAGTTTTTTTAATTTCAGACAAGTTTTTGATAATTTGAAATTATTTTCAGAAAAATTTTTGTAAATGTCACCATTTAACAAAGGCTTCGATTGGCATTTATATGAATTAATTAAAACGCAAATATCTTTTGCAGTCTTGTGGTCCATCTAAAGTAAAGAAAAATAAAAAGCAACAATGAAAATAATTTAAAAAAATGGCGCTATAAACAACACATTGGCGGTAGCAACTGTATATATATATATATATATATATATATATATATATATATATATATATATATATATATATATATATATATATATATATATATATATATATATATATATATATATATATATATATATATACATATATATATATATATATATATATATATATATATATATATATATATATATATATATATATATATATATATATATATACATATATATATATATATATATATATATATATATATATATATATATATATATATATATATATATATATATATATATATATACTATAATATATATAAGCATATATATTATGTATATTTTACATAATATATTACTTTATTTAAAAAAAATTTTATAAAAGTATTTTGTAAACAAAAAACGGGCCAATCAGAACGTAACAAAGATATCGTAATTACGATACTGTGGGTTAAAACCCATCTTTGTTAAGTTCTATTGGCAATAATTTCTTTCAATTTTCTTAAGCAAATAATGATTTTCTTATTAACAACGAAAGTTGTTAATAAACAAATAATAATTTGTTTATTATAATTATAGTAAGCAAATTATGATTTGCTTATTTAGTTAAGTTGTTGAACTTAAATAACTTAAGTTGTTTCCCAGTTAGTGAATTTTTACCCTCCTCCTCCCGAAAAAAAAAAAACTTTTACTGGGTATTGTTTAATTTAACATTTTAATGAAAATTTTGTCATTTCTTTTTTTTTAAAGATCATCGATATAAAAGGATACTGGGATACGAACTTTTTTTTTTTTTTTTTGCCGTTTTATATATTTACGATATAGACATATTACATTTATAAAAATTGGCCGGAGCAAGAAGAAGACAATGACTGTCTTATCGCCGAGCCCCGTTTACAAATTGCCCGTGTTTATAAACAAATATAAATAAAATATACAAAAATACGTTAAAGAGTAAAAAACATAACTTTTGTCAAATAATAAAATGACATTTATATTAAAATTTAAAAGTAAAGAAAGTTTTGTATACTAATACAAATATATTTGATACATATAACAAAATATATTTAATGATAATGGGAGCGTTTGTTTCTATTTTAAAATTTCCTTTTAAAAAAAATACTTAAAGTCTATTGAATTAAAATCTAATTGAAGTAAGATTCTTTTAGAAACTGCTTTAAATTTTTCTAAAGAGTAGTGTTCTTTATTAAAGTTTTTAATAAAATTTTTCCATAAAAAAGGTCCTCGATGTTTAATTTGATAAGAACTTATTTTTAAATTTATTCTCGGAACAATAAAGTTATCCTCTGAAAACTTTGTTGGATACTTATGAGATATTTCGCTAAAATAAGATTGAAATGTAAGTGGAGATATTCCATGTTTCATTTTAAACATGAAAAGTAATGTTTGGTAAATGTTTAGTTTATAAATGTTTAAGGCCTTGAGACGATTTAATAGCGGTTCGCACTAAACAGTTCTGTTTGCCCCAAATACAATCCTACAAGCATGCTTTTGTTTACTATAAAGTTCTTTGAGTTTTCCGTAATTCGTACTTCCCCATGCAATGTTGCAGTAAAAAAGATAGCTGTGAATAATTGAAAAATAAATAAATAAATAAAAAGTACGGAAATATTATAAGAGATTTTACTTTCAATAGATTGGATGTGACACTTCCATGACACATTTTCATCAAGAATTACGCCTAAAAAATTAACAGTAGATTCCCTTTTTACATCTGTTTTATTGAATAAAAGATTTGGCAGTTTAAGTGGAATTTTATCAGCTTTATTTGGTTTGTGGAACAGGATGAATTTAGTTTTATCTATATTTAGTGAAAGGCGGTTACTTATAAACCATTCATTTACTTTAGATAATTCTTCATTAAAAATTTTAAAGAGAATTTTTATATCTCTCTGTGAATAAAAACTTAACATCTATATATTTTCTCCATCGGTCGTACGTCATTTTTGTCGACAGCAACGTTGTACCAATATACTTTTCATCAAGAATTACGCCTAAAAAATTAACAGTAGATTCCCTTTTTACATCTGTTTTATTGAATAAAAGATTTGGCAGTTTAAGTGGAATTTTATCAGCTTTATTTGGTTTGTGGAACAGGATGAATTTAGTTTTATCTATATTTAGTGAAAGGCGGTTACTTATAAACCATTCATTTACTTTAGATAATTCTTCATTAAAAATTTTAAAGAGAATTTTTATATCTCTCTGTGAATAAAAACTTAACATCTATATATTTTCTCCATCGGTCGTACGTCATTTTTGTCGACAGCAACGTTGTACCAATATACTGCTTCCGGTATTGATATCTTAGATTGCTCTGCTATTCCTTTTATTGTACGATGGTTTTTTTCCACAATTCCGTTCTCTTCAGGGTAATAAGCGGCTCGAAACGTGATATGCACTCCCCAACTTCCAAGGAAACTCCTCATTTCTTCAGTTTTAAACATTGCCTTGTTATCTGCTAATATTTTGGATGGCGCTCCTCGTTCACAAAAGATAAGACGGAGAATTCAAACTATAACAGCACTTTCGCATGAACTTGACAGTTGTTGCCACAAAGCGTATCTTGAAGGTCCGCAATCGATTAGACTCAGAAATTTCTCAGTTTCGTAATGCGTAATATCCATGGCCAATCTTTCCCAATTTTCTTTAACATTTAAGGTACCTTTCGATCACTGCACAGGTGCTGGACCTACTGACTGACACGGCTCGCAATTTTTTAATACCATTTGAACTTCGTTTTTAGTTGCATTTAGAAGTACTTCACGAACAAAGTTCAATGTTCTCCAAAATGTCCAGTTTTCTTGTGTATACTCAAGATTGATTCAGGCTCCGCAACTACTACTCTAATACAATTCTTTAAAAGCTCATTTCCAGTCAACTTATTTAACTATCTGCTGCAAACTCTCGTTAATGCACAAACTAAATTATATTCCAAACGGACAAGGTTTGATTTCAAATCGTATTCTTCAATTGGTTGTTGCGGTACGCTTATTCTTCTTCAAATCAATATTACACCAGTTGCTTTTGACTTCAACCTTAATTTTCCAGTAAGTACGTCAAAAATCTAGTGGAATACTGTTGCAGAGCCTGTAAAAACTGTCATTTTTTCCAGTTTTCACGTCAAAGCCATATTTATTCATCGTAACACCACGTCTAACTCTGCCATATTTATATGAACGTCCGACTTTTCTTTTCGCAGCCATATTGCATCTTTCACAATTGTATTACCATTTTTAACTATTGCACCCATAGCTAAAGAATTTGCATCAGCCCACACCTTTCCCTCATTGCCATCTACAGCCTAATCCCCACAAGTTGGCTTTCAATTTTCAACCTCATCATAAACTTCTTGAAGTACACATTTCACATTTTCATTATCCCAGCCCTTCGTTAAACTGACAGCTCTTCGTTTCAACAGACTACAAACAACTCGTAACCAACCACACACAGATATATGACCCACCAACTGTCTGAAGTTGTTAGCTTCTATCTAATTCAAAACAGTCCGGACTTCATTATCTTTGTTTCTTTGAATCACAGCCATTAAAGGAATTTGTCCTTTGGGTGGCCCCATTAAATTTTCGTTATACTCAAGTAACCATTTCCGTTTGATCCAATTCTGAAGTTCGTTTCGTATTACGTTTCAGCATGTTTTGGTACTGCGTACTGGCAACTTTGTTAAACAGTTGGTTCTGTCCAACTCCGTCTCTCCATTTCCATTTGACTCTTCATTCCATGCCATCAAAAACATGATCTTCCTTTTTATTTTCAATTTTGTTTACTTCATCTTTATTTAAAGTTTCATCGAAGTTTGGGTCTAGCTATTGCGGACTGCCAGTCCGCAATAGCTGGACCCAAACATCGATGTTCTAGATGAGGAAATGAAAACTCCTCCCGATAATTTAAGTAAACTCATACCAAGCATCATTTCAACTCCGAAATGTCGGAAATCTACCAAAATAACTTCGTCGCGTATTTTGATATCATCAACCTCGACATTCACAGTCACAAATTTAATACATTGATGAACTTTACCTTCAAAAGTTGAACTTTTAAATTTTTTAATAGTTAAACTTTTGTTCTGATTTTCGGACGGAAAATTGTTATTTAGAATCGTCTTTGAGGATCCCGTGTCCATAGCTATTGCTACCATGCCATTAACTTTTAAACGAATAATACATAACGCGCTGATTCCATTTTTGTTCAGAAGCAAGGTTGCGCAGATCCCATGCTCCTGCACTTGTTTCCCTGCATCTTCAAGCATCTTGAAGCCATATGTCCTTTGTCACCACATTTAAAACATCGAAAGATCTTCTTCTGAGACAAGTTTTTTTGCAAATGAACAGTTCTTCGCAATGTGGTGTAATCCTTGTAACATACTAAAGGATTTTTATAACTTGATGTTAAGACAAAGGGTTCAAAGCAGTAAAGGGTTAAAATGGTTCTAAGCAGCTCTTACTTTGGGTAACATAACATCAATCGGGTCTTTTGTTGCTTAAAATTGTGATGATAATGACTCGGGCAATCCCAAAATAAATGCCAAACGTACTGTCTCTTCAGATAATTTCGCAAGATAAGCTAATCGTTTCAAATCAGCCAAAAACACATCAACTCTCACTCCATCGTATAACTTCCGTTTGGTGAAAAGCTCATATGCACTGTAAACATCCAATAAGACCGCTACTAGTAGCACTTGCTTGACTTCCATTGTATCTTGTTTATCTTCAAAGGTTAAAGCGTCATAAACCGAATACGCAGTTTTTCTAAGAAGAGTTAGAAAAAGTAGCTCCAGCTTTTTGTTCTGCATTTCAGCTACTACTTTGGTTTTTTGCATCCACACCGCAGCATCTGAAGTTTCATCATATGTTTCAAACACATCGAATAATTTCATACTTGAATTCGTTGCCCGGTTAGCTTGTAGTTTTCTCTCAGAAATATAACATTAAGTCAAGATATTTTCTTTCCTTTACTCAA